CATCAAAAATATTTATCAATCATTTATTATCAAATACTCTTAGTTAATATTTTCATTACAAAATTCATAACATCATTCTATTTTCACTTCTTATTCATTTATATTTAATTTATCATTTTTCATATTTTTATTGTTTCTTCTATTATTTTATTTCTTTTATGTCATTCAATTCTTTATGTATTATATTGACTATTATATTTATTAAATTATAAATTCTTTCCTTTTTAATTATTCCATTCTTCTTTTTTATTTTCTTTTTACTCTATTCTTTTTCAGATTAATCACCTCAAATTTTCTCTTCATGTGTCTTTGTTATTTTATATCTCCATTTCTCATTCTAATATTTATCCTTATTCTTCTTTATTCTTTCTTTTATCTTATTCATTTATCATTCTTTCTGAACTATTCTCTTCAACATTACTTTCCATTTCATGTGTATTTATCATGAATATAGTACTTCCATCTAAAATGTTTCTTTCTCCTTTCATTCAACTCCTTATGTTTTCTAATAATCATCATATCCTTTCATTCTTTCACAATTTCACTTTAACATTTCCATTCTTCAAAAGAAATAGTCATAACCATTAATACAAATCAGTAATTTTCATTCTCTAATTATGAAAATACCAATAATTAATTATAAACAAAAACAAGAGTTGTTATAATTTTATATGAATCAATAGTTTATTCAATGAAATGAGGAAATTAAAGCCAAAATGAAGAAACAAATATTTTAGAAGTTGTAGATTTATTAATGAATTTCAATTATTTAACAAGTATTAAATTTTAGTGTTGTGATAAATAAAACGTATAATTTACTATTATAACTATTATTTCATATTGAATCACTTCATTTATTCATTTCTATTCTTTCTACTTGTTATGATTTTTCTTTAACAGTTTCTGTCTTTATTTCATTCACTCAATTTGATTTATTTCTTTGGTACGTCTTATTAAATTTATGTCATTATCTTCATATCACTTCAACAATCTTTTTCATGGTAAAATGTGAGTTGATAGTCTTTTCTATTATGTTTACTTTGGTTGGAACTAGATGAAAAACAAATAACAATAATTTCATATTATCAACATGTTTTATAAAGATGATTAGAGGATATGACGTACATTTACATTATTTTACTTCATCCCATTGATTTTGTCTTTCTTACATTGAGATTTTCTTGACATTTCAGAGATATTCAGTATTTCTTGTTCTTGTATAATGTGTGACTCATTCTACAACACTCTTAGAGAATGGATTATTCAATTCATTTGAAAAGAAATAGCAAAGAAAAAGAAACAACAATGGGTAAGTGAATAAAGGAAAGATTAACGACTATACACAAAGTCAAAGATAAGGAGTGATAGGAATAAAAAACTTCAAAGACAAGAAAAAAAAGAATTGTTAGAGAAGAAGAGAAAGTTGAAGTTAAAAAGGGAATAATGAGGAGATTTGAAACAACAAAATGTGGGGGAAAATACAAGATGAAGAAAGAGAGAATAAGAAATAGAAAAGAAAGTGAGAATAAAAGACAGAAAGAGAAAAGACAAAAAAGAGACTAGACGATATCGTCAAAGAAAGAAAGATAGCATCAAGAAGGATATTTAAAGAGGGAAGAAAGGACTAATAAAATCAAGAGATGAGTACTAGTCAAACAAAGAATGTTTCAATAGATACAATTAAAGAATTTATGTATCAAGTTTTACTTAAAGTAGGAAGTGATGAAGAGAATGCAAGAATGGTAAGAGATACATTAATTGCAGCTGATTTAAGAGGAATGGATACACATGGTATTCAAAGGTTTAAAACTGTTTATATTGATAGAATTAAAAAAGGAATGATCAATCCAACAGCAAAACCAAGTATTATAAGAGAAACAAGTACTACATGTGTATTAGATGGAAATAATGGATTTGGACATGTAAATGGAACTATTGGAATGAAAATGGCAATAGAAAAAGCAAAGAAATATGGAATGGGAATGGTAGTAGTAAGAAATTCAACACATTTTGGAATTGCAGGATATTATTCATTATTAGCAGCACAAGAAGGATGTATTGGAATTTGTGGAACAAATGCAAGATCATCAGTTGCAGCAACATTTGGAGATGAACCAATCCTTGGAACAAATCCACTTGCAATTGGAATTCCATCAGATGAAGCATTTCCATATTGTTTTGATGGAGCAACATCTATATCACCAACAGGAAGATTTGAAAAATATGTTAGAATGGGAAAAACTGTTGATAAAAGTTGGGCATCAATGAAAGGTGGAAAACCAATTGAAGATCCAAAAGAATTACTTGAAAATTATCCTAAAGGAAAAGCTTATCTTCATCCTTTAGGAGGAAGTGATGAAGTTAGTGGAAGTCATAAAGGTTATTGTTTATCAGAATTCGTTGAAATTATGAGTAGTTGTTTAAGTATTGCAAACTTCTTAAATCACATTGAAGAAGAAAAAGAAAAGTCAGGAAAGTTTTCTTTGGGTCATTTCTTTATTGCAATTAACGTCGAATGTTTCAGAGATTTGAATGAATTTAAGAAAAACGTCGGTGACATTAATCGTACTCTTAGAAACACTGACAAACTCCCTGGTCATGATCGTATTTATACTGCTGGAGAAAAGGAATATGAAACAGAACAAAAACGAAGAAAATTCGGTGACGACTTACCTTTAGTCACTATCAATGAAATGAAGGAACTTTCTTCTTTTTATAATGTCCCTCTTCCTTTTTAATTGATTCTTTTGTTTAAAAGTTGGGTATAAGAGTTTTGGTTAGTTGTTGGTTTTTAATGAAACGTATGCCTAATTACAAAGTTTTATAGCTCAAAAAGAATTTTAGATTAGTGCCTTTTGTTATTAAGTAATTATTAAAAATATTTCTTAATTTTTTTGAGTTAGGGATTTTGGGTGATTATTAAATTATACTGATTTTAATTACAAAATACATTTAGGTGAATGCTTGACAACATTTCATTGTCATTAGTACTTTTTGTTTTTAAATCAATAAGCACTGAAGTATAAACTCATTGCATAGTATGTCTATAAAGACTATTTTTGTTTGGTGTTAGGTGAATAAAAAAGAATAACAACTCTTTTATCGTTCTTTTTAATGTATTTGTTTAATTCATTCTTTATTTATTTTGTCTTTTTTATTAAACACAAATTACAAGTAATTCATAATTCTGTTGGGTGTTACTAAAACAAAAGCATTAACACCTTTTCTATTAAAATGGTATTTCTATGACATCATTGTATTGATTTTTAATATTGATATAATTAACAAAGTCTTTATTATAAATAACCAACTCCTTTTCTTAAATAAAATGATGCAAAATAATTGAGATGAGTTACTAAGTTGATTGAAATGAAATAATTTCTTTTTGACTATCATTCTAAATCTCAATAACTCTTTTCTCTTTTTGCTCAAACAATTTTAAAAAAGACGATAGGATAAGAAAAATTCATAAAATGAAGAAATATAAAATGTAATCAATAATTGTCTTCGTCATAGTCATCTCCTTCTTCGTCATAACCATCATCATTTTCGTCATAGTCATCATCATCTTCCTCTTCTTCAAATTGTTGATCAAAAATCAATGGAGGAATAATATTTGAATAGTAGTCATATGAATAAGGAATAATTTTATTCAATAATAACAATAAACATTCAACATCTTCTAATTGTTTGAAGAAAATACTTGTAACCTGACACTTCCATTGATGAAAAGTAGAGACATTACTTTCTACTATTTCACCAGTACAATCTAGTTCAGCTGATAATTGATAAATTAATTCATTAACCATAGAATTTGGTGCAAAAGTGAATTTAACTTGGATATTAACAACAACATTATCACCGATATCTAATGACTTAACTCCAACAGAATAATTATTGATAATAACTCCTTTCATTTTTTTAAGAATCATTTCATCAATTGACTTTTTTGAACAATAATCAAGGATTCCTGAATTCTTAAAAACAAGATAATAAAATTCACTAACACTTACTTCACCTAAACAACTCTCTTTTACTAGTTTTGATGATTCTTGCCATAAAGCATAAGTTTGTTGTAAACCAACTTCATAATCGATGTCGGTTTGAATATTTTCAAGTGCATCACAAGCTTTTTGTACTTTTCCTACATTTCCAATTGAACTAAAATAATCTTCCATTGTTTTAATTTGAGCAACTCTTATTCTCTTCATATCTTATCAAATGAAATGAAAAGACTTTTTTTCTTTCCTTAAATAGTTATATTTTTATTATTATTTTTATTATTATTAAAATCATTTTTTTTTTCATAGAACTTATTAACTCAGTGTTTGATGTTTTGGGGTGTTATTATTGAGCCAAATGGATCATTTGAGTCAATGTGTGAAGATATTCTTCATATCACTCATGTTTGTATTCAAGAAGAATTAAAAGATGAAAAGATGCATCGTGCGTTTATTAAAATAGATAATGAAGAAGTGTGTATTGCAAGTATTACTGGAAATAATCTTAATTATCCTGTTTCAGTAATTGTCGAACCAGAACATTCTTTCACATTACTTAATAAAACACAAAATGTGATGTATTTTTCAGGATATACAATAGTACAAAATAAACTATCCCCAGAGATGGAAGATAGTTTGGTAATTGAAAAACAACAATTAGCAAAAAGTCGTAAATCTGAAAAAAGAAAATCAGTTGTTGCCCCAAAAAAACCACTTTCACCTGCATCAAAAAAAATAGTTAGAATTGGTGGAGTAGAAAAGTCAATTCCGATTGAGTCATATGTTTGTTTATTTTTGTTTCTTCTTTCATTTTATGATTAAGATAACTTATTTCTTTTAGGAAGAAAGATTAAAAAAACAAAATAGAAGACAAAGATTTAATAATGCTTTTATTTAAAGTTGATTGCTATAATTTTTTTTTGTTAAAAAAAAAAATAAAAATAAAAAACATCTTAAAAAAAATAACAAAAAAATTTAAGGAATAAAAAAAGGAATAAAATGTCTATTTGGACTAAAATTAAACATTCTTTCAGTCTTTTAGATATCTCTGAAATATTTAGTGATGTTATTGTTTTTGGAATATCTTTACTTACTATTGTAATTACATTGTTTTGTTCTCCAAATCAAATGGTAATTCCAAATGAAAAAAATAATGTAAATGTAGATTATCTTTATGTTGAAAAAGAAACAATTCCTTTTTGGCTTTGTGCTTTAATTTCATATGTCCCACCTCTTCTCTTAATACTTCTCTTTTCACTCTTTAAAAAGTCTTCAAAGTTTTTATTTTATTCTTTGTTTTGTTTAATCCTTTGTATATCTTCAAATATCGCTATTACTAACTGTGCAAAACTCTTTGCTGGTCGTCCTCGTCCACATTTTTATGCTAGACTTTCTGAACATCCAGAACAAGTTAAATCAGTATATCAGAGCTTTCCTTCAGGACATTCATCTTCTATATCAAATGGAATGACATTTTGTACATTATTTCTTGCAGGTCAAATGAAAATATTTGCTTCTTCTCAAGAGTCATGGAAATGTTTGTTTTTTTTTGATATTCTATAAATTTTTTTTATTAAAATATTTGTAGTATTGGTTGTGTCTCTTCCTTCTATAGTAGCTATTTTCATAATGATAACACGAACTCGAGATTATTATCACAACTTCTCAGATATCATTGGTGGAGGAATTATAGGACTTTTTACTGCTTTCATATTTTATTGTAATAAATTTAATTCTTTATCAAGTGACCATTCAGATGATTTAAAAATTACATCAATATCTCAACTTGAAGATCAAACAGATATATTTGATGTATAATCTAAAGTTAAAAAAGAATCAATCAATTTAAAGTTAATTTAAAGTTTCACAATAATTTTGAAGATTTAATGATAATTCTTGAGGAACATCAGATTGGAATCTCCCAAGTTTTCCTTTGAGTTTGTCAAAATAAACAAAACGGGTATGAGTATCATTTTCTCTAAAAAGATAAAATTTAACTATATCCCATAGTTTTTGAACTATTTCAGGACGTTTTTGGGATGAGTGTAGATACAAAACTAATACATCATCGTATAATTTGAATTGAGATGCAATAATGCATAAATCAGTCATATTCATAACTTTCATTCGAGTATTTTCTAACTGAGTTTGAACATCTTGAATAGCTTGAGACACACTAGTATCATTTTCTTGACTATTACTTTTTTGTAATAAAGATGTTCTTAATTCATCTAATGATTGATGAATAATACATTGACACCTTAATAAATCATTTATTTGAACTAATTGACTCCTTTCAGTTTCAGAAATTTTTCCAATACTGCCTAAACAATTTCTAATTTCATTCAACCGTTCATAGACATCATTTTCAGATAAAGAATAATGAACAATTTCTTTAACGGAGGCATCAATATTTCCCTGGAGTATTCTAACTTTCCACATAAGTTTAGGAGCATAAATACTAATGAATGAATCAATCCCTCTAAATCCTAGTGTAACATCGATAGTGTTATCTTCAATCATATATTTTAAAATGAGATCTCTATTTGGCCCACATGACATAATTTCTTTCACTATAGTCATTGTTAATGCAGGTATATGTTTAACTCGTTTGACACATTCAGATACAATTAATGTTGATCTAGAAATATCTTCATTTGGTTTATTTAATGAATGAATAGCAATAATTGCTGATTGAACATAACACTCCATATCATACAAATATTCTGCCAATGGTACAAGTCCAGAGTCAGCTCTAATAGCATATTCAACAACAGTGTTAGCAGTAAATTCTTTAACTGATTGATGGGTTGTAGGAGTAATTTTTCTAATTGAAAGAAATGCAAGGATTCGTTGTTGAGTAGATTCAGGAAGAATTTCTTGTGTAAAAAATAAAGGAATTTCAGTAACCTTTTCTTCTGCGTCAGGTAATTGTAATACATTGACAAGAAATTGTTTTAATTCTCCTAGATTTTTATCATCCAAGAAAGCAGCTAAAGGAGTAAGTGAAAAAGAATTTAATTCATCTGGAATTGATACTGAAGCAAGAAAAGAAGGAATATAAGTTAGTGCAATCATTCTTCGTAATTGATTGTAAATAGAAGATAATGGAGATGAAAGAAGGAAAGAATGTGATAAATATTGATGTATTAAATGATTCAAAGAAGTACATAACAAATGAAGTTTATATGATTTTTGGATAGGTTGAGTCAAATTAATTTCAAGTAATTGGTTTTGTAATGTTGAAAAATGTTTTAATGAAATAGTAGTAAAGTCATCTGTCATTAATACTTTAGCTAAAAACTTAACATGATCTTTAGGTAATTCTTTAAATGCAATGGCTTGAAAACACCATTCAATTGCTCTTTTGTCATATAATCGAATTGCTTCATCAACAATATCTCTTACACCTATTCCAAGTTCCGCTTCTTTTAATAGATAAATAAATTGATTGTATGTGCATTGATCTTTTAATTGAATTAATAATGTTTTTATTTCTTCTGGACATGGGATTGGAATCTTTTCAACATGAAAAATAACCTCTTTAATCTCCTGATTATCTAGTAGATTTATTACAATCTCACAACTTTTAGAGTCTTCAAACTCAACAAAATACTCACCATTACACCCTGAACATATTCCAATAGGTTTAACTCCAATAGTCTCAATAGTGTATTTGATAAACCATTGTTCTGTATGTTTGTTATTGCATTTGATACATAAAATTGTTGAAAAGTCTTCAAAGAAATCGTTATTCCCTTCAATTTCCCTTTCTTCCATTTATTTTTTTTTAGTTTTTTTTATGATTCTTTTTAATTTCTTTTTAATACTATTCTTTATTTTTTTTAATATTTTTTGTGATATAAAACAATTTTATGCAAAAGAATATACCTTCACAATTGAGTTATTCTACTGTTATTTTTCATATAATACATTGACAAGTTTCTTTCATCATTTTTATCACTCAATCTCAAAGAAACAAAAATGAGTTCAAATGAATGGATATATTTAAACAAAAAGGTATATTCTATAAGAAATTCTTTTGTAGGTTTTGATATACTCAAGTAAATATTATAAAACAAAGGCATAACATCAATGAATATTCTTATTAATATTCTCTGGCAAGTAACTGAATTGTTGAGTCATAAAACATATAATATTTGAATAATAGATAAAAGGTTTTTTATCATATTTATTTTTGAAACTACAACTGGATTATTTTAAAATGATATATTTATAATTCATGTTCTTTCTAGAAAAATAATTAAAGAATCTTTAGGTTAAAGTCTGTATGAATGAAATTGTAAATCAATGAATAAAATATTTAAAATTTATATTAATTTTGATAAAAAAAATGTCTGTGGATGTACATTCTAGTAGTAAATACATATCTCATAAGATTGAATATTATAGATACTTTGTTTTAACGATGATAATTTCAAAATATACAAATCTGATTAAGTATTGATGTATAAAATTGAACGATTTTGTTTTTAACTTGTTTATTTTTTTAATCAGAATTACTTTATTAAAGTTATGAAAAGAAAGAGTATTAAATAATTTAAAAAAAAAAACAAAAGGAAAAATAGTCTATTTTGACTTTTAGAAGTTTTTAGTCCATAAAATCATTACTAATTTGAGTATTATATTCTTATATTTCTTATATTTCATTCATAGATATTTTATATATTTTTATATATCCTTTTCATCTTTTTTTGTTGTTGAGAATAAAACATACAATTTTAAATCAACTCTTCTGTAAGAGATGTTTTTATAACTTTTAACTAGCATACCTATTCATTATAAATTCTTATGTAAAAATAATAGAATTAAGAAAGATTGAAATCAATATCAAGAAGGTTATTATTTAATAATCTTGTGACAAGTTGTTTGTATAAGAATATGTATTATATTTATTTGATTTACTAGTGTTTTTTATTTAAATTAATTAAACAAAAAATACAATCTATCTGATTTATTATTGAATAGTACCTCTATCAGTAACAAAATGACCAATTATCACATAACAATCATTCAAAAATTTTCTTACATTCTTTTAAAATAACATAAGTTATAAACATCCTGTTTATTTTTATTAAGTTAAACTAAAACAATACCTTATTTCGTATCTTTTCTGTAAAGAAAAAATAATTAAATATTATATGATACGTAAATCTATTGCTTCTTAAATAAACCTATGTTAATAAATAATTAGAATGAAAGAATAAAACAAATGAGAATAGTTTTCAATATTTCTTAACAATATTTTTAATACATACGTAATGTTATGAATATACTTATCAAATCTATTTTTTCTTTAAAACATAGCATTTGCTGTTCTTTTATTCATTACAGAATTTTTATTTTCAATAAATCTTTTTGATTGACAATTTAAATAATAACAAACTAACTAAATAAACAAACTATGACAATTATATCATCAATTCTTTAATTAATTTAGTTTCATCTAACAATAATTCATCTAACTTTAAAATGTTAAATACCTATAAAATCCAAAGTCAACTATCAACAAATTGATTGTCTTCAAACTATTATCACCTAATGTTAAAAGATGTATATATAAATAACTTTAACAATGACAATAATAATGAGTAAATTGTTTTGTCTTTTTGTAGAGTTTATTGATGTGTTGAATTTAGTTTCATTTAGAATAATTCATAATTCTCAAACAAAATAATACACTTATTAATAACATAATATAATAAATATTTAAAAATAGCTTAAATCATAAAATTATTAAAATTTTATTTTATAATAACAAAAGTATTTTTCAATTGCTTCTTTCTTAAAATTCCAAATCAAAATCCCATGTCTATTTTTATAGTTTTAACGTATAAGAATGATAAAATTATGGAAGTTATTTGAAAGAGTGTGACAAAGTTGAACAAAACTCGAATCTCAGGTAAGACATTCAATACAAAAAAAGAATGAAACCATACATATCTCTAAAACCATTGCTAGAACATGAAGAGAAAAAGGAAAAAGAACGAGAAAGAAATAAAAAAAGACAAATACCAAAATTACAAGCTTCTCGACGTGCAAGAGAATATGAAACCCAACAACAATCAATGTTATTGGCTTTACTAAATAAGTTTTGTACTGTACATATTACAAAACAATGTAAAAAGGCTGAGGTTACACATCAATTTTTTCGTATAAAATTGATTCAGTTTTCAATAGAAGATGAAATCAATGTTGAAAGATTTTTAAATACAAGAACTCAAGAAAGAAAACAATTTGAAATGAGGTGTGGATGTACAGAAAAAACTTCTAAAAGAAGAATGCAAATCAATAAAAAAGTAGAATTACTTCATTTACTTATTGATCTTCTTAATGAAAAAGGATTTACGTTTAGAAGTAGATTTACTGATCAAAAAATGGGATCATTACAAAAAGAAACAGTACTTCAAATTTATTACAAAAATGTATTTATATTTAATCATGAAACTATTATTAAAAAAAGTCTTATTATTCATGAATTAATTTCTCAAAAATTATTATCTAAAACAACTGATTTACTATTAAAACAAAATGACTATGATATTCAGAATGTCTTATGTAATTAAATTTATTGTATGTTCATTAAATTGAATTTAATTTTTCATATATTTTTTTATTGTTCTAATTTTAAATTTAAATGACATGAAATGAAAAAATAATTCATTTTTTATTTTTTATTTTTAATTGTTTTATATAACATTAAAATTGAACTAGGGTTGAAAGAACTTTTTAATTTTATTTATTCTTCGTTTTGATACTGAAAACAATGTTTTTCTTATTTGTTTTTAATTTAAATGAAGATAGAAAAAAATGCTTTTTTATGACTCCATTAATATTGTTGTTAGTGGCGTAAGACAAAAGCAATAAATTATTTCTTTAAATCTTTTGTTTTTTTATTGTCTAAATTCTTTTTACAACTTCTCTATTTTATAAAAGAGATTTATAAAACAAATTCTATTAAGCTATAAATAAAAATTTAAACTATTTATTTGCTAATAAAATAAAATTGATAATTTTATTTTCTATTGAAATAATAACATTTTTTCTGTAGCATAAATAGTAAAAAATAAAAATTTTATAAAAGGTTTCTTATTATCTACAAAAAGATGTAAAACTTTATACAAATATTTTGTAACTTGTTTATTTTCTTAAAACTAAATTTTGAAAAAAATTTATAAGAATCTTAGTATATAAAAAGAATTTCCATTCAGTTCAATCAATAAATCCAGATAATCAACCAAACAAAAAGACAATAAAAAAGTGAATGTTTTATAACTTTCTATTTCATTTAATCAAATTAAAAAAGAGATAAAAAATAAACAAAAATGAATAATAATTATAATAAAATAAACTAAATAAATAATATAATTTTTTTCTTTTTTTTTTTAATTACTTTATTTTTGTATATAAAACAAAACAAAATAAAAAATATTACAAACGATAAAGTTAAAGTAATTATTATAAAGTACATTGATTTAATAATTCATTAACTTGGTCTTGAGTAAATCTTTTCTTTTCAACCGTGCTCATAAACATATTAGCAGTAGGTCTTTTTTCTTTAGGTAATAATAACAAAGGAGTTTTTAACTTTTGTTGAAGGTCTTCATTAGTTTTTATTTTAAGTACTTCGTCTTGAATATAAAACATAATTGTTCTTGCAACACTCATTAAAGCACAAAATCCATCCATTAAAATAAAGTCAAATACTCTTAAAGAAATTTCAAAGTTAAACGCATGAACATACCATAAATAATGCCATTCAAAAATGAAAAAAGGCATAGGACAGTCAATAATTTCTAATTTTTTTAAATGATCAAACATTTGAGGATAATGTTCTTTCATAATAATTCCAGTTATTTTCCATAACTTTTGAATTAAGTCAAAATTCAAAAACATTTCTTTCCATTTATATTTGTCTCCACATATTTTCTTTGCACCTGCATAAGCTTCTTCTTCTTTTAAAAACATTGTAAAAACACTAATAACACTTGACATTCCTTGAACATAACCTAATTCTGGTTCTGTTTCAGATAATGAATGAAGAACATTAAATAATTCTTTTTGACCACCACAATATCTAATTTTAAAGTTATAATGTAGTTGAAATGTTCGATTAATATCTAAATCAATTTGTTTATCATGTTCTGACCTATTGTCTTTTTCATTTAATTCTTTATACTCTTTTAGAATTTTTTCATCAATATTATCTATTTCAAGTAATTTTTTCCATAAATCTCTTCTATAATTCATTGGTACTCCTTTCATAACTCTTTCACTTAATTTATGTGGAACCGTTTCTTTCCATATTTCTATCATTTTCTTCCATTTTTTATTTCTATTTTTTTCTTGTTTAATTTTTTGATTTGATTGTATCTTAACATCATAAATAATACTTTTCTCTTCATCTTCAGAATGAAAGAATCCAAATCTATTTGTTCCTTCAGGTTTTTCTATATTTATTTGTCCTGCATCATAACATACTTTAACATCAGCTCTATCGTTAATTTCTAATATTACTTGAATTGACATTTCTAATCTTTGTTCAATCGCATATTCTAATGCAAGTTTATCTTTTTTATCTTTAATTTTTGTACTTTCTTTATTTGTAATTAATTTTATTATTTCTATACAGTCTTTAGGTTGATTACAATAATGATGTAAATATGTCTTTCCTTCTTCATCTTGATAACTATAGTTAATATTATATTTCTTTGTTAATTCTTTAATTTCTTCATAATCAGCATTATCACAATATTTAATTAATAACTTTATTCCTTCTTCTGTAATAGCTTCTTTTTCTTGTTCTTTTTTTTCTTTTGTTGTTTCAACTGTATCTTTTATTTCTTCCTTTTTTTCTTCTTTACTTTCTGTTATTTCTTGTTCTTTGGCTGTATCTTTTTCTTTACTTTCTTCTTTACTTTCTTCTTTACTTTCTTCTTTACTTTCTTCTTTACTTTCTTCTTTACTTTCTACTTTTTCCTGGGGTTTTTCTTGATCCCTTTCATCTTTGTCATGTTCTGACTTTTCACTACTACTGTCTGATTTTGTTTGAGAAGAAGTTGAATTTGAAGATAATTTTTCACTACTTTGTGAACTTAATCTCTTTTCATCACTCTTTCTTCCTGATGGACTTTCCTCAGGGAAATCTTTCTGTTCAATTACACTTCCTTTTTGTTCTTCTATTCGATGTTCGTTTGAACATTCTTGACTCTCACTTTCACTTTTTCTTTCAGAACCAGATAGAGAAATAGAAGAAGAGGGACTAGAGAGTTCTATCTCCGATTCTGATTGTTCCCTTGATGTGTCATTTGACATACTTTCCACAATCTTCCTTTTAAAGTTCTTTTATTTTTTAATATTTATTTTTCAAAAAACTATTTTTGATTTTGAAGTTATTTTTAAGTTAATCTCTATTATTAGTTTTTTTTAATTGAAATTGAAAAGAATTATTAAAACTGACTCTTCAAATTATATGTAGCAAATTTTTACTGGACAAGCAGAAAAGGTGTTTCATTTCTTAAAAAAGTATAATCGATTCTAACTAAATAAACCATCAACTAAGAGAATTTACTTAAATAAAATCCAAACTAAAAAAAGAAATAAGAAGACAAAAACACTTTTTTCACATAAGAAAATAACAAATTAATTGATAAGTAGTTAAAGGAAATAGTTATAATTCTTAGAATTTAATTGTTTAAAAGGCAACCAAAAAAGAGAAATATTGAATCGAAAAGGTAATATAATAAATTAAATTTTATTAAGAAGAAAAAAGTTAATCAGATGAATTATTCTTTTGTTTATATTTGACTTGTTCAATTTAAAAGAAATGATATTTTTTTATACATCAATAATAATAAATAAAAGAATCATTAATTCTTATTTCAATCAAAGTCAAATATGTTTTATTTTTATAACAATTGCAAACCATTTTAAAAAAATAAACGGGAGTTTTTAACAAAAGAAAATTAGACTTGTTAGGTTGGTTAAAAAGAACACAATTTAAAGCACAAAAAGAAGGGCTACAATAAGTGTTGAAATAATAATGTTTAAACATCCACTTCTTTGATTCAAGTTTTGTTCTTTTAAACAAAAACCTTGTTCAGAGCATGTATATCCTACTCTACAATTTCCACAAGTTGGTTGACAACCTTCTTTCCATGGACTAGCACTTGAAGTAGTTGTAATAGTACATTCAGTAAATTGACAGTCAAAAGTAGTATGATCGCATTCTGTTTGATTGCTATTTGCTTTAGAACGAATTAAATAAGCTCTTTTAAGAGAAAAAGTAGTACCAACAGGAACAGAATGAATAATTCTAATAAAGTTAGAATATTGATAAGAAGAAGCATCAAAAGCAATTTTCATATGAACGGTTTCACCATCTTTGTCAAAGTAATATTTGGTTGGTAAATCTGAACTAATTATTTTAGCATTTTTTATGTCTACAGATGTTACAGTGTCAGTATAATATAAATTTGTTGTATTAAATTTATAAGAATTGATGTCACTACATCTAAAATCCATTCGTAATTCTTTAAAATCTTGGTTCAGTCGTAAAGGTGTTGTATATAAGAAACATGTAGAAATAGGATCTGACGGTGTCTTAAATTGAACTTTTGATTCAGTTAATGGAAAACTTGTTGCGGTATTCTTATCGTCAATATAATACATTCTCCATCTAAACATAGGAAGAACATTACTGTAATTTTTTCCTTCCTCAAATATTTGAGTGTCAGCTAAATATTTACAACTTCTTAAATTATAAGAAACGAAACGATCATCAGTAGAATATCTTGTGATTGTATTTAAGTTTATCCCTTTAAATTCAATTTTTTCACTATCAAAAGAAATAAGATAAATATTAATAGCATGTGAAAATAATGGAATGGTAAATGTATCATCAGGATTAATTTTAATCTCTTCATTTAATTCTCCATCAATAATTTCTATTTTTTCTGGTGGTCTATTATGGTCAATAAATTGAATTATTGAATGGCTATCATTTTTACTTAAAACATATAAAGATGGATTAATCCTTAAATCAAAATCAGATTCTGCCACTGTTACTTGACTTAATGATAATGAAGTTCCACTAGATATAGTAATTTGACTGAATACTGAATTTCTTACTCCAACAATTCTACTATATAGTTGAGAGTTAGCACCATTAATAGTAACACTAACTGAACCAGCGATCATACACACAACAGGGTTTTGTGATGGACCTACAACTTCAAGCCATTCACCACATCTATTAATACTATTTGAAGTTTTATTAACTCTAATTAAATGTTCATTTATATAACAATCTGATTTGATGTTATGTCCATGAACTGATACATTAAAATCAGGAATTTTGTCATAACAGTACTTAATTTCATTGACAGTAATTTTTGGAGAATTTAAATTAACTGCAACAAAATCTGACATACAAGGTGTATCAAGAATATGTCTATTTCCTAAAACATAACAAACAAGTGTTAATAATATTAATGTAAACATTTATGAATTTCATTAGTGCAATTTTTTAAGTTTTTTATTAAATGACAATCTATCTTGACAAGAAGTACAAATTTATCTATGTAACTTTCTTTTCAAAAAAATAAAAAGTCTCAACAGAATAATCAATCTCAAATATTTCGTCATTCCTAAAAATAGTTCTAAAGTTCTCAATTACAATCTTAATCCATTAAAAAGTAATAATTTACATTCATATTTTATATTGTTTTTCCTCCTGTTTTTATTTTTCCTTTTTTTACACTTTTTTTCTTTATATTACCCCCATTATTCTTTTAGATTTTTCCTAAATGCAACTCTCTTTTTAGATGAATAAAGTAATAAATATCTTTTTATTTTAAGTTTTTTGAAACTTTAGACGTTATTATTTATTCTTTTTGTTCATTTGGTTATTTTTCCTTTATCTTTTTGTTATGTTATTCAAACTTGTTTCACTTGATGATCCTTTCTCTTTAAATGCCAATGTCTCACTTCACTCTATTTTTCTTTATTTAATCCCTCAAATACAAACTAACCAGATTTTCTTCTTATAATGAGTTTAGAATTGAAGTTGTTTTTATTCTTTTAGATATTCTATCATTTTAATGTTTCTTTAATAAGTTATTTCGATAATTACAACTCAATTTCATAACTTCCTAACAAAAACTACTTTATCTCTTTTAAAAACTTTTCCTAAAAATAAATAATATTTGTTATTTAAATCAATTTTTATCCTATTATAAAAGTATTAAATTTTCTCAATTATTTCATTTTAAATAATAAGCAATTAATTAAGTGTTAATAGAAGTAGTTTTTATTGTTCCTGGCTCAGGGGAGATTAACCCCATCTTTGAGTCTTCTTTAATAAAAATTATTTAAAAAAAAAAGAAATGAAAGAAGATAATAACATTTTTTACTTTTTAAATAATGTTATTTTTATTATTAAATTATAAAATTAAAAAGTTAATAACAAAAAAAAATTAGAAAGAAGTTAAATTAAAATGAAAAAATTTAATAAAAAAAGACTTTGAGTATTAGAAGAAATGTTCAGTCTTTCCTTCAAGAAGAAGATGATTATCACATGGAAGTCCAAGAAGTGCTCTAAAGAAATTATCAAGACATTCTCTTTGTTTAAATAAAGCATTAATAACTGGAGAACCTTTTGGTACAACGGGTGCTTTAAGAAGATAAGAAATCATAGACATTACAGAATTAAAGTTTTTAAATTCTTTACCATCAATAGAGTAAGTGACTCTAGTCATAAATTCCATTAAAACAGCAAGATCAATCATTAATGGAGCAGCAAGAAGAGAATCTTCACAAGTGTTATGAAGAGCAATTGTATTATGTCCTCCTAAGAAAATCTCTGAAGTATATTCATCCATAGCTCTTTTAGAATCTCCTACATATGGAACATATTTAATAACAATGACATGATCTGGATGTTCTCCTTCCTTATACATAATATTATTAGATTTAACAACATCAGAAACAACATTTGATTTTGATATTTCTTTAGATCTAAATTGTGATGGTGAACTTAAATTCTTTCCATCATTATTCCCAAGATGATTATATGATACAATTGATTGGTAATTTAAGTCCTGATGATACAAGAAAATCTGCAAGAAC